CACCCTCTGCTGGATGAGATGACTAATATCAAGCAACAACTGTCAACAATTGGCCAGAGTTTGGCTTCACAGCAGCTTCAATTGACGCAATCGTTAAAAGCAATGGAGCAAATGGGGGAGAAGGTGACGGAAATGGACGCCAATACTAAAAAGGTTAAGAAAAAGGTGTAAAAGCTGGAAATGAAGCAAGCCACGGAAGAGTCACAACTGTTACAGCTGCAAATGGAGAAAGCCAATTTGGTCCTACAGTTTCAAGGGGTCCCTGAAATCAAAGGAGAGAATCTGAAGCAACGGTTGAGCGAAGCAATAGCCCCAATGACAGATTTGACAGCAGAATATCTTTACAGCGAGATGGATGTGGTCTATAGGTCCTATTCCTTATACATCAAGAAAAATAATCTGCCTGGGGAAATAGTAGTCAGATTCTCAAAGAGACATGTGAGAGACTCTATCTTGAAAGCAACTATGGGAACTCCCTTGAAAATTGGGGACAACAACATCAGGATTTTAAAAGACATCCCATTTGACATAAGACAGAAGAGAAAGAATTATAAAGAACTAATTATTTTTCTACAAACAAATGGCATCAGTTACAGATGGTTAATTCCAGAAGGCATCATTTTCAAACTTCACGATAAAAAAGAAAAGATTGACTCTGTTCTTAAGGCATGTGATTTTCTGCGAACACAGCTCAGGGAACCAGCTGAGGACGAGAAGGAAGAAGAAGAAAGCAAATCTGATGGCGAGTTAGGCTCGGGGTCTTCGGACGAGGACTCACCCTCTGAAAAGGGGGCGGCCGCCCCCAAAAGTTCATACAAATTGAGAATTAGAAAAGGGAAGAATGATTTGTGCCTGAAAACTCTGAAACAACTTTGGGATGCTCTGGGGGTTTCTTTAAGCAGTTAAATGAATAGTTAAAAGATAATTAACCTAGCATAACCGACTATGTTCATTGTTTTATTAGCTTTTTAAAGTAACAATTGAGATAAGATGATGTACTGATCTCCTACTCTTGGGTTTTTAGTTATTAGTGGGTCTTTTTTCTTTCTCCTTAGATGTAGTTCCCCTTCCAATATTTTCGGTTGTAGTTTGTAGTCTGTAAAAAATCAATAAAAAATTCTCCTTAGGGGGATCCAAAAAAACAAAAGAAAAAAAAAAAAAGAAATGTTTTTGCTTGGGCAACCAGAATTTGATGTTACAAAAACCTATAAACATCATGCCAAACTGAGATTTTGCTCACCTTGCGTTTTTTTTGGGGTACTATTTTGTTAGCCATCAGGAGTGGAATAAACTAGGTAAGGCACTCAAGTCTCATCCCCAAACAATTCTATAAAAAGAGATGTCTGCAGACATTCCCACATTTGGTGTACCTGGTTTGGTGTAGTAGTCAAGTGCACAGACTCTAATCTGGGAGAACTGGGTTTGATTCCCCACTCCTCCACTTGCCACTCCTGGATGACCTTAGGCAAGCCATAGTTCTGACAGACCTGTTCTTGAAAGAGCAGTTCTCGAAAGAGCGCACTCAGCCGCACCTACGGTGTATGTTGTAGGGAGGGGAAGGGAAAGGAGTTTGTAAGCTGCTTTGAGACTGTGAGTGAAGAGTGGGGTATAAATCCAAACTCTTCTCCTCTTCATACTTGCAATGACATAAATGAAGGGTCCCCGACGTGGTACCCAGGGGTACCACAGCACCTGTCGACACCTGTCCTAGTACCCAAGTGTTTTTAGAAAGTGGATGGGGCCAGGTGGGGCTTCTACTCAGCAAGGTTTTTGTCTGCTCCGGGAGAGCTGATTGGCTTTGCAGATTTAAAAACACACACATTGCTTTGGAAAAACAGGTTGCTTACCTGTAACTGATGATCTTCGAGTGGTCATCTGTGCATTCACACCCATGGGATCTAGTGCGCACGTGCTGGATCGATCGGCATTGTAGCAAGCTCTTTAACGGATTTTCGCGCCCAGTCCCTCGGGCCTGCAAAGGAATCTCACTGCGCATGCCCAGAGGGATGGGCGCGGTGTAACTGATGATCTTCGAGTGGTCATCTGTGCATTCACACCCATGGGATCTAGTGCGCACGTGCTGGATCGATCGGCATTGTAGCAAGCTCTTTAACGGATTTTCGCGCCCAGTCCCTCGGGCATGCATGACCACTCGAAGATCATCAGTTACAGGTAAGCAACCTGTTTATCTTCGACGTGGTCTCTGTGCTTCACAACCATGGGAGATTAGCGAGCAGTGGCCTACCTGGAGGAGGGTGCTGTCAGGTCCTTTACGGCGTCGCCGAAGATAGAATGTGACGTCCCATGTTGGTATTAGAGTTCTTACGGACGTCCAGGGCGTAATGCCTCATGAAGGTGTTAGGCGTGGCCCAGGTAGCAGTTTTGCAGATGTCCGTCAGGGGTACTCCCTGGAGGAAGGCAGTGGAAGCCACAACAGCCAGGGTTGAATGGGTCTTGATGGGGCCAGGCAACGGCTGCTTTGCAATCAAATAGCAGAGGTGGATGAGACTTTGAGAGGCGTTGAGCCGTGATGTGAGTCCCCAGCCTCGCTGGTGCATATGAGACGAACAGTTGGGAGTCACGTCTCGTTGGGTGGGTTCAGTTGAGGTAGAACAGTAGTGCCCTTTTGACATCCAAGGTATGTAGCAGTCTGTCCTCTGGGGATTTCGGAGCTGGGAAGAAATCTGGGAGGAAGACCTCTGCCTGTAGGTGGAACTCTGTGACACTACCTTTGGCAGGAACGAAATGTCAGGGACGAGGTGGACGCCGTCTGGCAAGAATGACAAATAAGGCGTGTCATGCCGGAAAGCCAGTATTTCTC